TTTTCTTTTTTGGGGGTTTTCTTTCTTTTTTGGTTACCCTGCCCGGTGGGAACGGCCACTTTTTGAAAAAAAAAAAAAATTCACGTAAAGACTCAGTTTTCTCACAAAAAACACATCATTCTAATTCATTTATATATACAGTGGACCCTGGGTTAACGATATTTTTCACTCCGGAAGTTTGGTTCAGGTGCCGTACTACCGAATTTGTTCCCAAGGGGAATATTGGAAGTAATTAGTCCATTTAAACCCCCCAAACATACCGTAAAACGCACTTACATAAATACACTTCATAATTGGTCCATGGGAGTGACGTTAAGCGGGGGTCCACTGTATGTGTTTTCTAAACATACAAAAAAATTTTTGTTTTAAATTTACTTCTTTATTTTTTACTTTTTCTCTCTTTATCTAACAGGCACTTTTATTCTTTTTTAAAGCTGATTTTGTCAAATTTAAATGTTAATTTTTAGTTAAATTTACATCTATTATATTTTGGATAAAAAAAAATTTGGGATATCACCCAAAGATCAGATTCCATCACTAGAATTTTTTTCTATTTTTTTGTTAATAATATGTGGGACCCCCATCAATTCTAACCCAACCCATGGATCCCCCGAAACCGGGATAGTATTAAACCTTATTTTTAAGCAACTTTTTGTTTAAAAACCACAATAAAGTTGTAATTGAAAATTTACGCCAAAAAGTCGAGAATTAGCAGTTTTTCCTGAGGGGAAGCATTCACAACTTCTTTTGGTTTCAAGAATTATCAACATCACTACTTTTGCACTTTGGTTTCTTTAAATAGGCAAAATTAAGGGTTTTTTTCAGGTCAGGGAAAACCCGGATAACTGAAGAAAGGGAAAACGGGACCTGCAGATCAGGGGTTTCCAAATGTATATGTGTCCTTTTCCCTGATGGGGAGGAAAAAAAGCCCCGGGAAATTTTTTAAAAGGATTAGAGGCCCCATAACAAGCCTTTCGCTTTGCAGTAAAAAAACTGTACAGTATCTCTGTTCTTTTATATCTTTAAATTTAAATGTGTACGAAAAATTTACGTTTTCTCTGTCGTTATTTTAAAGGGGAGGCACCTTTTACGCTTAATGAATGTGCGTACCCGTATTAAGGGAAATCATCAACTATTAAACCTAGGTGTAGGTTGGAGAAGCACCCGCCCAGGGAGGTACTCCGTCCTGCCAAGTGAGTGTAAAACAAAACCCTGAAATTTGTTTTACTATGGTAGGATTGCGGGTTTTTTTTGTCTTTTCCAAAAAACATGCAAGATTTCGGGTATGTCTTGCTCTTCTACTTACATTTAGGTCACACTACACATACATGTACAAGCATATATAACACACCCCCTTGGGGTTTTCTTTATTTTCTTTCTGTTCTTGTTCTTTCTTCTTATCTCCATGGGAAGGGGAACAGAATTTTCCCCCGTAACTATGCTGTTTTAAGGGGCGACTAAAACGCTGGGAGAAAGGGGGCTATAACCCCTTCTCCTGTTTATTACTAAATTTAAAACGAAAAAACTTTTGTTTCTCTTTTTAGACCACCCCACCTCGTGGGATACAGGGGCGTTGAAAAAAAAGAAAAGATCAATTATCACTTGACCCAACGGCATGTGTTTTGAGTGGCTCCCCCAGCAATGTTTCCCAAATTTGTCAACCCTCCCTTTTCTTTGTACTTTGATTGGGTTCGCCTCAAGGATCGATTGTTCGGCTCCAGCCCATTTTTTTTAAAGGGGGAAGTTTTCTTTGGTTTTTGACAAATACTAACAAAGGATTGCCTTTCCAAAAAGTATACCCTCCTGAAAAAAAAAAGAAATTTTCCCAATTTAGATAATGAGCTGAAAAAATAAAAATTAATCAGGTTAGTTAAATGGAATATTAAACTAAAAAGAAAAAAACCGTATAAATTTTAAAAAAAAAAAGCCCCTTTGAAATCTGCACTTTTCACCGGTAATAAGAAAAAAAAAGACGCAATACCGGACTGGAATATTACACAAATAACCCAACCGGCGAGAAAAACTTAATGCCATTTTCAGCCCGACCTGGGCCATTTACAAGTTGCAAAAAATTTTTGTCACTAAAAATCAAATTCATTTTCCCCCTAAAAGATGAGATGGGCAGTGCAACGTTAGGTATCTTTACTTTTAAAGTTTGGTTACCACTGTTAGGCAAAACGTTTCACATGTGTTTTAATTATAAATTGTCAGTATTTTATAACATTTTCAAAAACACGCCCTAATGGACTTTTAAGGGTTAATTGAAATAGGGAAGATAGCTCTTCAACATTATCATGTCTAGCAAGGTTGGAGTAATGGTATACCCGATGATAAATAGAAAGGAGGAGACAAACCACACATTAAAAAAAGTAAAAAGAACGAAAAGGGAAAGATTTTTTAAAAACAGTAACAAAAGGGTTTAGTTTGTAACAATTATATTAATAAATAAAAATCTTTTTCTACAAGTAATGATACACTTATCAGACTGGTGACACAGTGAATACTATATAACATTTCCTTTTAGCAAAGCATTTCTGGCCCCCTTAGGTTAATTTTCCCCCAGGTGCGCCCCATGCCAGTCAGTTAAAACCCAGGTACCCACTTTTGTAGGGGAAAGGGGGGAGCGGGGTTTTAAAAGGGAAAATGCCCCCTGTATCCCCCCGTACCCGGGATTGAACCGAGACCCAATGTGTTGTAAGTAAGTGCGCCCCCAACCAAACTACAGAGCACCAGATAAATTTTAACAACAAGAACAAGAGGCAATAACTAAAAACAGAGAACAAGAGGCAATAACTAAAAAACAGAGAACAAGAGGGAATAACTAACAACAGAGAAAAAGGCAAATAATAAAACAGGAACAAGAGGCAATAACTAACAACAGAAACAAGAGGCAATAACTAAAAATAGGAAAAAAGAGGCAATAACTAACAATAGGAAAAAAAGGGCAATAACTAACAATAGAGAACAAGAGGCAATAATAACAACAGGAACAAGAGGCAATAACTAAAACAGAAAAATAGGCAATAACTAAAAACAGAGAACAAGAGGCAATAACTAACAACAGGAAAAGAGGCAATAACTAACAAAGAGAACAAGAGGCAATAAAAAACACAGAGAACAAGAGGAATAATAAAAACAGAGAACAAGAGGCAATAACAACAACAGAGAACAAAGGGAAAACAACAACAGAGAACAAAAAGGGGAATAACTAACAACAGAGAACAAGAGGCAAAAACTAACAAAAGGAAAAAGAGGCAAAAACTACAACAGAGAACAAGAGGAAAAAACTAAAAAACAGAGAACAAGAGGGAATAACTAACAACAGGAAAAAAGAGGGGAAAAACTAACAACAGAGAACAAGAGGAATAATAAACAGAGAACAAAAGGCAATAACTAACAACAGAGAAAAGGGCAATAACTAACAACAGAGAACAAGAGGCAAAACTAACAACAGAGAAAAGAGGCAATAGCTAAAAAAGGAACAAGAGGGTAGCTAACAACAGAGAACAAGAGGCAATAACTAACAACAGAGAACAAGAGGCAATAGCTAACAACAGAGAACAAGAGGCAATAACTAACAATAGGAACAAAAGGCAATAAAATAAAACAGAGAAAAAGAGGCAATAACTAACAACAGGAAAAAAAGAGGCAATAACTAACAACAGAGAAAAAGAGGCAATAAAAATAACAACAGAGAAAAAGAGGCAATAACTAACACAGGAAAAGAGGCAATAACTAACAACAAAAAAAAGGCAATAACTAACAAAGAGAACAAAAGGCAATAACTAACAACAGAAACAAGAGGCAATAATAACAAAGAGAAAAAAAGAGGCAATAACTAAAAACAAAAACAAAGGCAAAAAAACAACAGAGAAAAAAGAGGCAAAACTAACAATAGAGAACAAGAGGCAATAACTAACAACAGAGAACAAGAGGCAATAACTAACAACAGAGAACAAGAGGCAATAACTAACAACAGAGAACAAGAGGCAATAACTAACAACAGAGAACAAGAGGCAATAACTAAAACAGGAACAAAAGGCAAAACTAACAACGGAAGAGGAATACAGCAGTCATAAACTAGAGATGCCCAAAAAGGGCATTTAGAAAATGTTTTCCAAAACTGCGAGAATGACTGAATAACAAGCAAGAGAAGGTAGCAAGTGCTGGAACAACTGGAAAATTGATACAAATAGGTAATGATATTTAATTTCAAGTGGGGATTTTCCAGTCAAACATAGAATTTTGCCCAAATGTATATTAAAAAAATCTCTACTTTACAGTTTGAAATTAACTGAATATTTTTATATTGTATTTGATTGCTATGACCTTTCACAAACGTTTCGTCCGTGATAAGATAAAAGTCTGTCTGCGAAAAAATCTTGTGATTTTAGTGCAAGTATTAACCCCCAAATTTCCCTTAAAAACAATTACTTCATTCACTGTTAATGTGTTTGCTGTTTTAAAAAATTTTCACATGCTCACATCAAAAGTTTTTTTGTAATACGTGTACTGTATTAGTAAAATTACACATTTGATTAGGAAACTTCGCCCGGTTAGCATTTTAATCTAAAAATAATCAGTACAATCACCTATGAAATTTTACAGAAAACAGAATACCCGGACCAGTTTTAAGGTTCTTTACCTTGCAAAACCCGTCCAAGGCCAGACTACCTTGCAGTTGCTTGGTCAAAAAGGGATGGGGATGCTAATGTCCCTCAGGCCCACAAGCCATCATAAACTGGTGATCAAAAATTGCAGTAGGTAGTGGCACTAAAACTTTTATCCTGACTAAAATTTAAAACTTAGCAAAACCCCATTTACTTGATAAATAATACCAAACTACACGAATAACCTGCACACAGGAGAGAGAAGCTTACATGAATTTTTGTCCAACTTGGACCATTTTTCAGTCACACTAAACACAAAAGAGAGGGGGTCAGTGTTTTGGTGAACTGGAAATGGACAGATCAAGAGAGGAAGGAAGAAATAGCGTAGTGGTAGTGGTAAGGCTGGAATGGGTAGCAGTAGTAGTTGTAGAAAGTAGGGAGAATAGTTTTAGTGAGACAAGAGATAGAAAGGAAAGTGAAAGGAGACAATAGTGGTAAAGCAACAGTAATAGGAATGGTAGTAATGGTAGAAGTGGTGGTGGTAGTAGTAGAAATGAGGTTAATCAAAAAAGCACTAAGTAAGCTTCTCTCTCCTAGTAAGTAAGTAAGTTTATTCAGGTATACACAAATACAGTTACATAGAATTATCATACATAGCAGCATATGTGTAGAGAACCTAGGATAACCCAAAAAAGTCAGACAGAGTGACTTATTTCCATTGGGGTCCTTTGGATGCATGTTATCTGTGTATTGTTCCAGTCATGGTATTGTGCCTTTTTGTTCAATACCAAAGTACTGTACATTCCATTCTATTTTATAATAAAATACAACACTACACAGAATTTGTTAGAAATTTTTAGTGGGGTAGTCAGAGACAGTCCTTTTACAAGGTTAATATTATACCTATTATACCTATACAAGGGTTCAGCAGTTACGTGTAATATCTGTGCACCTCTAGAGAGATGGTGATAGTGTGAATGATGGTGAAACTATTTTCTTTTTTGGGTCACCCTGCTTTGGAGGAGACAGCCAGCATATTAAAAAAATCTGTAATTAAAAAAAATATATAGATCTAGGCCTGAACCAAGTCTCCTAAACTGGAAAGAAAATACAATACACCATCTCATACTACATAGGTTATGCTTCCCAAAATTGACATGCCTTAAAATACCATTAAGGAAAAAAAAAAAAAAGATTACATTCCAGATACCTCCAAATTTGCCATGGAAAATTATTTTTACTATTGTAATAGGGAAAAATTACAACTGTACTAAGAAAAAATTACTATTATACTAAGTAAAAGTTACTATGGTACTGAATAAGTTACATTCTGGTCGTGCTTCTTGAAACAGAAGTGTAGAAAGGGTCGAGATGAGCCTACTGGGTTGAGGTAGATGGCTGTAGTTCTTGTGTTGATGTGGATGAAGAGTTGATGGACAAGCAGTTGCTGTCTATTACATGGGGAGGAATATAAGCCATCTCAAAATCAAACAATCACATTTTGCAGTTTTAATCCAAATCTGTACAAAAATAAATATTTACATACACTTTAGTCTTCCCTCAAAAAGTTTTGGTTATTTTAACACAAAAGCACAAACAAAGCTAACTAAAGAGCATTTTATCAGAACTTGGTACTGTATTTTATTTCCACTGTTTTCCATCATCTATCACCATTGTATGCTATACCATTTATGTGCAACACAATGTAAATTGCTCAATGATTACTCACATGGAGATAGAAACTCAAAACACTAACTAATCTATATATTTTGTCCCTCTTCACTAGATCAATTAATTTTCTGAATTTCTGTCCCCATGTGGGTTATTAATGAGCAATGACAAGTGTTCATTGCACTTTCTTTAGTTTTTTTTTCCAACAAGTCGGCCGTCTCCCACCGAGGCAGGGTGACCCAAAAAAGAAAGAAAATCCCCAAAAAAGAAAATACTTTCATCATCATTCAACACTTTCACCACACTCGCACATTATCACTGCTTTTGCAGAGGTGCTCAGAATACAACAGTTTAGAAGCATATACGTATAAAGATACACAACATATCCCTCCAAACTGCCAATATCCCAAACCTCTCCTTTAAAGTGCAGGCATTGTACTTCCCATTTCCAGGACTCAAGTCCGACTATATGAAAATAACCGGTTTCCCTGAATTTTTTTTTTTTTTTTTTCAACAAGTCGGCCGTCTCCCACCGAGGCAGGGTGACCCAAAAAAGAAAGAAAATCCCCAAAAAGAAAATACTTTCATCATCATTCAACACTTTCACCACACTCGCACATTATCACTGTTTTTGCAGAGGTGCTCAGAATACAACAGTCTAGAAGCATACACATATAAAGATACACAACATATCCCTCCAAACTGCCAATATCCCAAACCCCTCCTTTAAAGTGCAGGCAGTGTACTTCCCATTTCCAGGACTCAAGTCCGACTATATGAAAATAACCGGTTTCCCTGAATCCCTTCACTAAATATTACCCTGCTCACACTCCAACAGATCGTCAGGTCCCAAGTACCATTCATCTCCATTCACTCCTATCTAACACGCTCACGCACGCTTGCTGGAAGTCCAAGCCCCTCGCCCACAAAACCTCCTTTACCCCTCTCTCCAACCCTTTCGAGGACGACCCCTACCCCGCCTTCCTTCCCCTATAGATTTATATGCTTTCCATGTCATTCTACTTTGATCCATTCTCTCTAAATGACCAAACCACCTCAACAACCCCTCTTCTGCCCTCTGACTAATACTTTTATTAACTCCACACCTTTTCCTAATTTCCACACTCCGAATTTTCTGCATAATATTTACACCATACATTGCCCTTAAACAGGACATCTCCACTGCCTCCAACCGTCTCCTCGCTGCTGCATTTACCACCCAAGCTTCACATCCATATAAGAGTGTTGGTACTACTATATTTTCATACATTCCCTTCTTTGCCTCCATAGATAACGTTTTTTGACTCCACATATACCTCAACGCACCACTCACCTTTTTTCCCTCATCAATTCTATGATTAACCTCATCCTTCATAAATCCATCCGCCGACACGTCAACTCCCAAGTATCTGAAAACATTCACTTCTTCCATACTCCTCCTCCCCAATTTGATATCCAATTTTTCTTTATCTAAATCATTTGACACCCTCATCACCTTACTCTTTTCTATGTTCACTTTCAACTTTCTACCTGTACACACATTCCCAAACTCATCCACTAACCTTTGCACTTTTTCTTTAGAATCTCCCATAAGCACAGTATCATCAGCAAAAAGTAACTGTCAATTCCCATTTTGAATTTGATTCCCCAAAATTTAATCCCACCCCTCTCCCGAACACCCTAGCATTTACTTCTTTTACAACCCCATCTATAAATATATTAACCCTTTCAGGGTCCAAGGCCCAAGTGTCCAAGAATTTAAAAAAAAAAAAATTGTTATTTTTTCTCATGAAATCGTAGAGAATCTTTTTGTGAAGGTAATAAAACAAAAAGTACGAAATTTGGTGGAAAATTGACGAAATTATGCTCTCCCAAATTTTGATGTGTCAGCTATATTTATGAATCGGCGATTTTGCCGACTTTGACTCCCATTTTAGGCCAATTACATTATTCCAATCAACCAAATTCTTAGCTATTTCACTAGTATTACTTCTATTCTATCGATTGAGCACAAGAAATCGCCAAGTCAACTGTTTCAACTACAAAATAAAGTGATCGGAAATTGTTAATTTGGCCAATTTAACACAAAGTTCAAAATATTCCAATTTCAAAATAGGGTCCAGAATAAACAATGTAGGCATTCCTGGCACTAAACTAACATTTTCCTCTGTTCATTAGTTATGTTTTGAGGCTTTACAAATAAATTCCATTTTGATTTTTTATTCGCATAATGAATTTTTATTCACACCAAAAAATAGAAGATTTACTGTTATGCAATACTGTAATAATTGTATAAATATCACCACCATATTTGTGAATGTATATTAGACCCACCAGCTGACGTGTATTAGACGTGTGAGGTCGTTTGTTTACTCTTGAATATCGGCAAAAAATTTAACATTTCCGCTACTTTGAGCTCAGTTTCAAGCCATTTCCAGTGCTAAAACCAATCAAAATCATCTCTATTTCTGTAATATGTCTTCCATTCTATCAAATAAGACCAAGAAATCGCAAATACAACTATAAAAAACATACGAAAAAACACTGCAAAGTTGCTGTTTTAATCGAAAAATCATGATTTCAGTTTTTTTCTCTCATTATACACAGTGTGCTGCAGGATCTGTTTTATGTGGTGCACACATACCACATAGATGTATTCTCTCATATCTAGGCCCAAATGTACCACTCACAGTTTATCAGAGTGAGCTGAGCTCATGGCGTAGATCTACGGTTTGGACACTCACCGTAAAGCCGTAGATCTACGGGACGGACCCTGAAAGGGTTAAAGAACCATGGTGACATTACACATCCCTGTCTAAGACCTACTTTTACCGGGAAGTATTCTCCCTCTCTTCTACACACCCTAACCTGAGCCTCACTATCCTCATAAAAACTCTTTACAGCATTTAATAACTTACCACCTATTCCATATACTTGCAACATCTGCCACATTGCTCCTCTATCCACTCTATCATATGCCTTTTCTAAATCCATAAATGCAATAAAAACTTCCCTACCTTTATCTAAATACTGTTCACATATATGCTTCAATGTAAACACTTGATCTACACATCCCCTACCCACTCTGAAACCTCCTTGCTCATCCGCAATCCTACATTCTGTCTTACCTCTAATTCTTTCAATTATAACCCTACCGTACACTTTTCCTGGTATACTCAGTAAACTTATTCCTCTATAATTTTTACATTCTCTTTTGTCCCCTTTCCCTTTATATAAAGGGACTATACATGCTCTCTGCCAATCCCTAGGTACCTTCCCCTCTTTCATACATTTATTAAACAAAAGTACCAACCACTCCAACACTATATCCCCCCCTGCTTTTAACATTTCTGTCATGATCCCATCAGTTCCAGCTGCTTTACCCCCTTTCATTTTACGTAATGCCTCGCGTACCTCCCCCACACTTACATTCTGCTCTTCTTCACTCCTAAAAGATGGTATACCTCCCTGACCAGTGCATGAAATTACTGCCTCTGTTATACACAATGTAAATTCTTTAAACTATAATGGTACGTAAAGCATCTGCAATGACGAATATGACCAAAATAAATAATGTAGTATATCTATCTATAAATAACAAAAAGGCACAATATAGTGACTGGAACAATACACAAATAACCCACACATAGGAGAGGGGAGCTTACGATGACATTTCAGTCCAACTTGGATCATTTCCAAAGTCACACTAACTTTGTAAATGGTCCAAGTCGGACCAAAACATCATCGTAAGGTCTCCTCTCCTATGTGTGGGTTATTTGTGTATATCTATCTAAGAGAGTGGTGAAGCAATGTAAAAAGAGAGCAAATGAGAGAGTGGGTGAGATGTTATCAACAAATTTTGTTGAAAATAAGAAAAAGTTTTGGAGTGAGATTAACAAGTTAAGAAAGCCTAGAGAACAAATGGATTTGTCAGTTAAAAATAGGAGAGGAGAGTTATTAAATGGAGAGTTAGAGGTATTGGGAAGATGGAAGGAATATTTTGAGGAATTGTTAAATGTTGATGAAGATAGGGAAGCTGTGATTTCGTGTATAGGGCAAGGAGGAATAACATCTTGTAGGAGTGAGGAAGAGCCAGTTGTGAGTGTGGGGGAAGTTCGTGAGGCAGTAGGTAAAATGAAAGGGGGTAAGGCAGCCGGGATTGATGGGATAAAGATAGAAATGTTAAAAGCAGGTGGGGATATAGTTTTGGAGTGGTTGGTGCAATTATTTAATAAATGTATGGAAGAAGGTAAGGTACCTAGGGATTGGCAGAGAGCATGCATAGTTCCTTTGTATAAAGGCAAAGGGGATAAAAGAGAGTGCAAAAATTATAGGGGGATAAGTCTGTTGAGTGTACCTGGTAAAGTGTATGGTAGAGTTATAATTGAAAGAATTAAGAGTAAGACGGAGAATAGGATAGCAGATGAACAAGGAGGCTTTAGGAAAGGTAGGGGGTGTGTGGACCAGGTGTTTACAGTGAAACATATAAGTGAACAGTATTTAGATAAGGCTAAAGAGGTCTTTGTGGCATTTATGGATTTGGAAAAGGCGTATGACAGGGTGGATAGGGGGGCAATGTGGCAGATGTTGCAAGTGTATGGTGTAGGAGGTAGGTTACTGAAAGCAGTGAAGAGTTTTTACGAGGATAGTGAGGCTCAAGTTAGAGTATGTAGGAAAGAGGGAAATTTTTTCCCAGTAAAGTAGGCCTTAGACAGGGATGTGTGATGTCACCGTGGTTGTTTAATATATTTATAGATGGGGTTGTAAGAGAAGTAAATGCGAGGGTCTTGGCAAGAGGCGTGGAGTTAAAAGAAAAAGAATCACACACAAAGGGGGAGTTGTCACAGCTGCTCTTTGCTGAGACACTGTGCTTTTGGGAGTTTGAAGAAAGTTGCAAAATTTGGTGGATGAATTTGGTGGGGTGTGCAAAAGAAGAAAATTAAGGTGAATACGGGAAAAGAGAAGGTTTATGGGAAACAAAAAATTAGGTATGAAAGATTGAATATCAGATTGGGGGGAGAGAGTATGGAGGAGGTAAGTATTCGTATTGGGGTGGCGTGTCAGCAGTGGGTCTTGAAAGATGGGGGAAATCATAGAATTGATGAGGGAAAAAGATGGGGTCCCTTAGGATCTTGGAGAAAAAAGAACTTTGTCCTTGGAGGCAAAGAGGGAATGATGAGAGTATAGTTTTACCAACGCTTTTTGGGGTGTGAAGCGTGGGTGATGAATGTTGAGCGAGGAAAAAGGCTGGAGCGTGGAGATGTCATGGGGGGAATGTGTGGTGTAAATATAATGCAGAGAATTCGTTTTTTGGGAATTGGAGGAGGTGGGGATTACCAAAACTGTTGTCCAGAGGGTAGGAAGGGTTGTTGAGGTGGTTGGAATTTGTAGAGAAAATGGGCAAAACGAATGACTTAAAGAGTGACAGTCTGTAGGGAAGGAAGGCGGGGTAGGGTGGGCCTAGGAAGGGTTGGGGGAGGGGAAAAAGGAGGTTTTGTGTCGAGGGGTTGGACTTCCAGCAGGCATGCGTGAGCGTGTTTGTAGGGTGAATGGAGACAAAGGGTTTTAAAAAAAATACTTGATGCTGTTGGATTTGGGGGAGCAAGTAACTTTAGAAAGGGGTTCAGGGAAACCGGCAGGCCGGGCTTTAGTCCTGGAGATGGGAAAATACAGTGCCCCCGCACTCTGAAGGAGGGGTGTTAATGTTGCAGTTTAAAAAATGTATTAAAGCCCCTTCTGGCAAGACAGTGATGGAGTGAATGATGGTGAAAGTTTTTTTTTTTCGGGCACCCTGCCCTTTGGGGGGAATCGGCCGGGTGATAATAAAAAAAAAAATAAAAAAAATCTATCTAAAATCATTTTGACACCGGTAACCCTAACACTTAAAAAATGATTTTTCATCCTAAATAAATACCTGTGCAACAATCTTGACTCAAGAAAACAGTTATCCCTTCCCCTTTTTTTTATCAAACCTAATTACCCGCCCTTCCCCTAGGGCAAGACCCATATGGGTTTAGTGCTTCCTATGAATAATACCTAGAGAGAGTTTTGGGGATTAATGCCTCTGCAGCCTGGTCTGTGACCAGGCTGCAGTCACAGACCAAAATTTCCTTAATAAAGAAAAAAAATAAACAAGAGCAGGTAACATATCATCTCCACAGGGCAGGAGCTGTGACTTGACCCTGCAACCACAAACAGGCGAGTACATTTACTATCCTCCAGAACACTGGATGACATCACAACTAAATTATTAATACCATTTATAAAAATAACACTGAACCTGTATGAATCCTTCAGCATTACAAAAATCACAATTGAAACTAATAAATGTTCTCATCTAATCATAAAAAGTCATACAACATTCTTACATACAGTATAACTATTAGGGAAAAATTACTGTATGATAAAAATGAGCCAAAAAAAAAATTTAACATAAAAACTGGGTCTACTAAAAATTATACTGTCAAGAGTATTTAATGAACCATTATAAATGCCAAAATCTTTTTTTTTTAACGTACTGCAAAACTTTTTTTTTTAATGTACTGTACATTCCATACTGTATTTACCATGACTATCACACTTAATGAATATTCACATAGCAATTTTGACAACAACAACAAAACACCTGGGTCCATTGCCCTGCATAACAACCAGTTCCTGTTATTAACGAGTGAATTCCAGGCTGTGGCCCCCACTAACTTAATTAATGACCACTTCTTCATACAATGAACTGATAATATTTATAAATACTCGTACTGTATATCACCTCAGAGGCATCAATAGAGAGAACTAAATTTGTTTTCTACATATACATACACACACACACTACAAAAATAGTTTATCCCCAAAGAGAGAGATAGAGAGAAAGTGTAGTCATGTCTATGAGAGAGCAGTGATGTTATATTTCATACTGTAACTTCTACCACTCCTTCCTTCACTCAGAAGAGGTATAGTCCGTTATAACACCGTCCCCCAGTTTATGGTACGAGTGCACAACACAGAAACTGTGGAAAATTATCAAAATATTGACAAGATATATTTCATGTCATTTTTATTACTGTTGGGTTGAAGGATTGCTTGCAACCAAGACAGTGCTATCAGGTGACATAGAATATATGAGCATAAGAATGAAGGAGAACTACAGTAGGCCTACTAGCCCATGCCAGGCAGGTTCTTCTCATATCCAACCATTCTCACTGATGCTGTACACTGGCATGCCCACTCATCAACACACAACCTTGCCTCTCTACCTGTCTTTCTAAGGTAGCACCTTGTCTCACTTTGCTACACATACTGTCCTCTGTTTTTAGTTGTCTCTGCATTAGGATTGAAAAAGCCATAAGTGGCAAAATGTCTTCTTCAATAAATGTCTTTGACTGTGCATGTGTCTTGTCCCCACATTCTGTTATAAACATACCCAGACTTGTACAACTTATTTTGTCTTGTGAAACTTATATCACCACTGCATGAAATCTCTTGATAAGTAACATTATACTCAGCCATTACTACATTAGCCCAGAAATTAAGAAGATAAGATTACTAGTCTGAGCAACACTTTGGGACCGGGTTATTGAACAAAAATAACGTTATCTTCCTCCATCCATTATCCATGACAGTCATTTTTTATCAACACAATACTGTACAGCACATCCGTCTCGCCAGCAGCATTCACTTAACCAGTTGCTCTTGCTGAGGTCAGACACCGAGCATCTACACAATATTGAGGTTGTGCTTGTTTAAGGTATCAGAAAATGAAGACAGCAATTTACATACTCGTGATTACCTGCATGAATGAAGTTCTGATGAACCCTGTAAAACTTTCACAGCAACATTCAGACTTCAAGCCACTAGAGCAGCCATTTTTCAGAGCCACATCTGCAAAGAACAAATTGGAACACCTACAGAAAATGCTCAAGAAGGTCAAGGAGACTTGTGTCACTTGCAATGAGCTATCAAACACTCTCAATCAAAACCTATCAATCACTCTACAGGAAGAAGGGAACATGCACATCAACCGAGCCAAGGAATCATCAATGACAACTGTGCCAAGTTTACAAAGTAGAGTAGAAAATATACTAAGGAGGAGCCCTCATAAGGAACAAAAGCTTCAGAAAAAGCTTCCTGGTATCCTGAGAATGGAAATGGAAATGGAAGAGAAATACACCAGCAAGAACTTGACCGAGTGTTCCTTCACTTGTCCCAATGGTAGGTGAAACTTGAGTAGTTCAATCTTGCATGCTGAAACATGCCTGTACCTCTTGTATATGCTGGTAGTAATGAACATCAGTATAACAGACCAGAATAGACAGAAGGAAACACATTATTATTATTATAATCAAGGGGGGAAGCGCTAAACCCAGAGGATTATACAGCGCCTGGGGGGGGGGGATGTGGAAGGCATTCAGGCTTAATTCGGGGAACTGGAGCACAGATCCAATTCCCTAAATCAAGAGCCCCTCACCAACATCAAGGAACCTTCCTTGAGGGGAGAAGGAAACACAGACCAGCATAGACAGAAGGAAATGGTAAAACTGGAGTTGTACATTCTGATCTTAGCTAAAGGCAGAAACATATTGTTCCATTTTCATTTTGTATTTTTTTTTCCTATTTCCACGTGGGTTTTTCGTCTGCCTTGTCATGTGACGAGTATTTCCAACAAAAGCCAGCTTTCAACTTCCACTTTCTCTATATATATTGTAATCCTAAAAAAGCATTTGGTTTTCTTTAAGAATATGTGAAAAAACACTAATTTATAATTTTCAAGCAATGTTAATTGTAGCTGACTCAAGGAATTTAAATTAATAGTTACAAATTTTTTTAAGTTAACTCTGCTTTTCTAGCAATTATCATATCCACATAATGTCTTTTACTGCATTGCATTTTATGCTGATGTACTGTAACTAGGGACAGGTTCATGCACTAAACCCTCCATTTAATGGATTAATATTGAGGAGAGGGTGGCCAGGAATGACAATGGTGGAAAAATAGAGATAAGATTCTTTGGCTGTGATCATAACAATACATAACAAGTAATCAATAGTTTTATCATTTCTGAACCGAGTGACCCAGCACACACTGTACCACATTTCCAAAATTCATTAAGTCAAGCATTTTAACCCTTTGACTGTCGTGGCCGTATATATACGTCTTACGAGGTACCGTGTTTGACGTATATATACAGTGGATCCCCGGTTTACGATCAGCTCCCAATGCGACCAATTATGTAAGTGCGTTTGTATGTGTATGTTTGGGGGTCTGAAATGGACTAATCTAATTCACAATATTCCTTATGGGAACAAATTCGGTCAGTACTGGCACATGAACATACTCTGGAATGAAATAATATTGTAAACCGGGGGTCCGCGGCTTCAAATCAAGAAGGAGAAAGCTGGTAGGCCCACATGTGAGAGAATGGGTCTGTGTGGTCAGTGTGCACCATATAAAAAAAATCCTGGAGCACGCAGTGCATAATTAGAAAAAAAAAACTGACTGTTTTTTTTAATTAAAATGCCGAATTTGTGGTCTATTTTCGTATAGTATTTATGGTTGTACAGTATTCTCGTTTTCTTGGTCTCATTTGATAGAATGGAAAACATATTATAGAAATAGAGGTGATTGTGATTGATTTTACTATAAAAAGAACCTGGAAATGGAGCTCAAAGTAGGGGAAATGTTTGATTTTTGCCCATGTTCAAAAGTAAACAAATGATGCCATTGTCCAATAAATGTCCAACTAGCCATTCTAATATGCAGTCATGAATGGGTTGATGTTATTTATACAATTATTACAGTATTGCAGTAGTCTGCATAATAGTAAGTCTTCTATTTTTTGTTTGAATAAAAATTCAAAATAGAAAGCAAGAGTAATATCAGAGGGGCCTGGAGACATGACTGATGAGCAAAGAAAATGTTATTTTAGAGCCAGGAATGTCTGCATTGTTCATTCTGGACCTTATTTTGAAATTGTCATATTTTTTAATTTTCGTGAAATTGGCCAAATTGCAAATTTCTGACAACGTTATTGGGTAGTTGAAATTGGTAAATGGGCAGTTTCTTGTACTCAATCGATAGAAAAAATGGAGTTCTAAAGAAATAGCTATGAGCTTGGTCGACTGGAACAATGGAATTAGCCGAAAATAGGGCTCAAAGTGGGAGAAATCGCCAATTTGTAAATATCGCTGAGGTCGCTAACTTCACGAGACCGTAATTCCGTCAGTTTTCCATCAAATTTCTTTTTTGGTGTCATTACAATCGGGAAAAGATTCTCTTATCATTTCATAAGGAAAATAATTTTTTTTTTTTTTTTGAAATTTTGTGACACCAGGAGACACATCAGGATTGGGGGTTGTGACAGTCAAGGGGTTAAAATGGCATATGCTGGTGTCCACTGATCAAATGAGAAAGCGGCTTCTGCATATCATTTATTTCAGGCTGATGTATCTTATGGAGAGAATGATACACAACACGTTTAGGTTCTGCAGCTGCAAATTTGCCGATTTCCTAACTAACAAACCTAGAATTGTTGGACCACAAGCAATAATTGGAGAGAGCCTCTTCTATCAACTTCAAATATTCAGTGATGGTGGGCCTATGCAAAGAAATGTTGCATCTGATTTTGGGCTGTGTGCTCTAATTTCCCAATTTTCTTAAAACTGGTTACTATGCAATATTTGGAGAATCTCTCTTCTGATCTGCTTCAAATTCTAAATCTGGTTAAACTTAAACCTTTTTTACTCTCTCTTACAAACATCTACATTATTACCTGGAGTTTACCTGGAGAGAGTTCCGGGGGTCAACGCACCCCACGGTCCGGTCTGTGACCAGGCCTCCTGGTGGATCAGAGCCTGATCAACCAGGCTGTTACTGTTGGCTGCACGCAAACCAACATACGAGCCACAGCCCGGCTGGTCAGGAACCGACTTTAGGTGCTTGTCCAGTGCCAGCTTGAAAACTGCCAGGGGTCTGTTGGTAATCCCCCTTATGTATGCTGGGAGGCAGTTGAACAGTCTCGGGCCCCTGACACTTATTGTATGGTCTCTTAACGTGCTAGTTACACCCCTGCTTTTCATTGGGGGGATGTTGCATCGTCTACCAAGTCTTTTGCATTTCGTAGTGAGTGATTTTCGTGTGCAAGTTCGGTACTAGTCCCTCTAGGATTTTCCAGGTGTATATAATCATGTATCTCTCCCGCCTGCATTCCAGGGAATACAGTTCAGGAACATCAAGCGCTCCCAGTATTGAGGAGTTTTATCTCCGTTATGCGCGCCGTGAAGGTTCTCTGTACATTTTCTAGGTCAGCAATTTCACCTGTCTTGAGAGGTGCTGTTAGTGTGCAGCAATATTCCAGCCTAGATAGAACAAGTTTACCTGAAAGTGTCATCATGGGCTTGGCATCCCTAGTTTTGAAGGTTCTCATTATCCATCCTGTCATTTTTCTAGCAGATGCGATTGATACAATGTTATGGTCCTTGAAGGTGAGATCCTACGACATGATCACTCCCAGGTCTTTGACGTTGGTGTTTCGCTCTATTTTGTGGCCAGAATTTGTTTTGTACTCTGATGAAGATTTAATTTCCTCGTGTTTGCAATATCTGAGTAATTGAAATTTCTCATCGTTAAACTTCATATTGTTTTCTGCAGCCCACTGAAAGATTTGGTTGATGTCCGCCTGGAGCCTTGCAGTGTCTGCAATGGAAGACACTGTCATGCAGATTCGGGTGTCATCTGCAAAGGAAGACAGTGCTGTGGCTGACATCCTTGTCTATGTCAGATATGAGGATGAGGAACACGATGGGAGCAAGTACTGTGCCTTGTGGAACAGAGCTTTTCACCGTAGCTGCCTCGGATCTACGTTTTAAGTGTAACTCCTTCAGATATGTTATGAATGGTAAATTCTGGCCTAGACATAGGTTTGTGAAGTAAGTGTGTACAGTACAAAAAAAAATCCTGCCCTATGCAGTGCTTGATAGGAAAAACAAACCTCTGACCTTGTGTTTGGTTTACAATAGCAACTTTTAGGCATTTTCAAGGACGATTTTTACAGTTGTATTGGCAGTTTCTTGATATCAACCATACACAAGAGTTTTGTTTTCCCATCATGTACCACACTGGGCAGGAATTTTTTTTATACTGTGTACATTCACCACACAGACCCATTCTCTCATTTCTATGCCAAAATTTACTGCTCACAGCTTATATGAGTGAACTGAGCTCATGATGTAGAACTCCATGAGGGACCCAGGCCACAATGACATAGTTCTACATGATGGCTACTGAAAGAGTTAAATAAAAGCATCATGTACCTTTGTTTCTACAAATGCTTACTCTATTGTAAATGTACAAGAATGTGTCATTTAATAGTTAAAGTTACTAAAATACAAATATTTTGTCTTATCCAGACAAGTCTTTGTTCCCATGTGTGTGTGACCCGTGTGAGAAGAGTATCAACTGCTCAGCAATAGGCAACCTTACACAGCTTTATCAGCTCTTCAACAGTATCTCTTTCCCAGCTACCAAGTACAGTATATACCAGCCATCTTTTATATAATCTAAGACTCATATGAAAACAAGTTCATACTACAAACAACTGACCTCAATGTAGCCGGAAATTTAAACCCCATGTCATACCTCCCTGTGTGGCTAAGTAAGGTGCTTAGGATCACTCAGTCACCAGCTCCATAATAAGCATGGTCACACATCTAGCAAAGACCAGGCAGGCACTACAAATGTTTCAAACTCTGGACATAAGGTCACCTGTTTGTACTTATAAACTTTTAAAGTCATGTAGTACTTGTGATTAAAGTTTTGTGCAAAATTATATTTTAAAAAATCGAGATCCATAATACCATACTAAATATTTTTGCCGTGATGAAAAATTTAAACAATACATGTACCAGAAGTTTTTCTCACATTCAACAGATTCGACACTTTCCTTCTCTCCTCTCCACCACAACTTTCACAAACCCTAGGAAGTGTTTTCCTGGATAATACATTTGGCTTGGTGTCCTTTAAAGAGATCCTGGTTGAAAATACAGACGTAGAACAAGTGATGAGTCAAGCTTTTAATGGGAGTGAGAACACGCTGGCAAAATTAACCTTCAGATGGAACTACAATCTTAAGGACTTTCCATTCGCTCAGGTAATATATATACATTAGTAATGTGAGTCTTCCATCTTACTCACGTAATAAATATAAAAAATAAACTGTGTGCATACACATACATGCATGCATGTATGCACTCCAGCATGCATACACACACAGTGGCCACTTTATTAGGTACACCCTTCTAGCACTAGGTAGGGCCCCCTTTGTCCTACCATACATATACATACATACACATATGTATATATTATATGCATACATACAAATATATCAGTACAAGTTTCCCTTGCTTTATGCTGTTTCTGCTTACTCAGGTAATTCTGAGTCTTCCCTGATACTTGGGTAATATATATCGGTACAGTACTATATAGCCTCTCCTCACTTAGCGACGTACTCGTTTACCGACTCCTCAGGCTTATGACGGGCTCTCTGACCAGTGTTCATACCCAAATAATGTATATTAGAACTGATTTCCTCGATTCTGTTTATTTCAATATACAGTACACTACTGTATAAACTTCTTTCTTCTTTCAACGTACCAGCCGTATCCCACCGAGGTGGGGTGGCCCAAAAGGAAACACAAAAGTTTCTCCTTTCAAATTTAGTAATATATACAAGAGAAGGGGTTACTAGCCCCTTGCTCCTGGCATTTTAGTCGCCTCTTACGACACGCATGGCTTACGGAGGAAGAATTCTGTTCAACTTCCCCATGGAAATACGGGGAAATAGACAAGAACAAGAATTAGAAAGAAAATAGAAGAAAACCCAGAGGGGTATGTACATGTATGTGTAGTGTGACCTAAGTGTAAGTAGAAGTAGCAAGGCGTACCTAAAATCTTGCATATTTATGAGACAGACAAAAGACACCAGCAATCCTACCATCATGTAAAACAATTACAGGCTTTCGTTTTACACTCACTCGGCAAGATAGTAGTACCTCCCTGGGCAGTTGCTGTCTACCAACCTACTACATATGTACTGTATAAACATCTAAAAATATACCAGAAATGTTATAAATGGTGAAAAGGTAACATTAAAACAATATCAAAGTTGGGCGACACAAATTCACTACCATTATAGTATGCTCCTTACTTAGCGACGAATTCGTCTAACGATGTGGTCTTAGAAATGGAACTCTGTCATTAAGTGAGGAGAGGCTGTATATTAAAAATTGACAGTAATGCCATATTAAAAAATGTGCCTTGTGTTTAATCACAAAATTAAGTGGTACAGTAACTGAATATAAATGAAAAGAAATCCGAGTTTTATTATAAAATGCATGATTAAAATCTCACACGAATAAATTAAGGATTTGAACCCTGGCCAGACCAAACATTATATTTGTGTTGCTTTAATATTAAAAGCTAAGCTTGTCTCATCTTGTTATCATGGTTGAACTACCCACAAAATGTTAGGTAAGTTAACACAGATGCACCTAACGTGGCATTTTATTGTGGTAATGTTTCACTCTCCAGGAACTTTGTCAAGCTCCAGGAGAGTAAAACATTGCCAAAATAAAATGTCACGTATCATATAGGAGAAGAGCAGCAGCTTACAAGGACATTTCAGTCTGACTTAGACCACTTACAAAGACACACTTTGTAAATGGTCCAAGTTGGACTGAAACATCATCACAAGCTGCTCCTCTTTCCTACATGCGGGTTATGTTGTAAAATTTCACAGTAGCTGCATCTGTGCCTATTTACCTAATATTTTCTCATCTACCCTGCATCAAATTTAAACATTCTGTCCAAGGGATCTTAAAGATGCAACCATCAACATTCTCTGCAGAATTATTAACAATTATCAGTTAATGAAGCATTACAGATACAATTAGGTAAGTGAACACACATGCAACTTTTTAAATACACTTTTTTTTTTTTTTGAGGGAGGGAGGCAATGTTTTGCTCACCAGGGGCTTAGCCAAGTCTTAGTGTACATAATCTGACAGAGTAAGACCGTACAGGTTTGGTGTAAAGGAAGTCCTGGGCATAGAGGTAACAGAAATATTTAACAACTGAGTTAATAAGCATACATTTAACAATAGAGTTGTTCATAAATAACATGAAGTAGGTGATGGCTATGTTGTGGGGGCCTCAGTAATGCAGTACTTCAGAAGCACTGAAACAGACACCAATTAGGCAAAAGGACACAGGTGCAACTAATGTGACATTTTATTGTGGCAACGTTTTGCTCTCCAGGAGCTTTATCAAACTGTTAGATAACAGCCTGACAAAGCTCCTGGAGAGTGAAGCATTGCCACAACAAAATGTCACATTAGTTGCACCTGTGTCCTTTTGCCTAACATATTGTCGGTAATTCTACCAACATCAATACAGACACCAAGATGCATTTAAAATTAGCAAGAATAAAGAGGACAAATTAGTACACAAGGATGTCAAAGTTGTTTTAGGGTAGAGTGGTCTTGGGAGACTACTAGGAGGGATGATTCTAAATAATCCCTGCATAAATTTGATGTGTGATAACTATTCTTGTGTCTTTCAATTTCATGAGGTGACTGCGAAAGCTATGATGAATCGCACGTGTCGTAGTTAACTGTTCTGCAGGCACATTTATGCACCCTCCTACGTGTTTTCTAATTTCTTTAAGTATCACCAATATATTTTCTGGCAACTTCCACAAAGGGTAATGTGAACACCTGCACCTCTGCTTTCAAGACCAGCTGCTTTGTTTCTATTTAAATCTTTGATGGTGGTGATACTGGCTATTTATGATACATAAAAAGAGGGTCTTAGTGTAACTGGAAATATAACCAAGTTCATCTCATCATTTAGCATCAGAGTAGCTATGGCCATAATATCATCACCATCAAAGACTTAACCAGAACCAAAGCAGCCAATCTTGGAAGCAATGATCCAAGTGTTTACATAATCCTTTGTGAAGGTTGCCAGAAAATATACACAAGCGAAACTTCAAGAAATTTGGAAACATTAGAGAGCATAAATATGCCTGCACATGAGAACCACAGCACATGAGCAATTTATTGCAAGTCTTGCCATTACCTCACGAAACAGAGCAACACAAGAATAGTTATGAAAAAAAATTGATCTACAGAGAAGTAAGTAAAAGCACTGTATTTTGAGGTCCCCTCATAGCTCTCCAGTATAATCACCCCAACACAGAAGTATTGTCAACAAGTATTATCAAGAACAGTATCAAGACCCCACAACATGGCCATCCCCAAAATATATATTTTTTTATACTGCATACAAATCTTTGTACCTTGACCTTTCCTTGCATAACCCTATTGTTCAATGGTTTTTGTTGTTACCTTAATACTCAAGCCTTGCCCTTACATCTCACTTTCTCACTATACAGAATGTACCCTTACTCAGTCTGGTTATCTACACCAAAGTGTGACAGAGCTCCTGGCTAGTGATACATAACTTAAAAAACAAGTATCCAGAATACTGCACGTGTTAGTTTACCCATTTAATGATCAGTATTTTTATACCTTTTTACTCTCACAGTATAGATGCAGCTTATATTTTAACAAACATTGTTTTGCAGCTAGCCAGCTTCCCGTACCTTGAAACTCTGGAAGTCTCGGGAGGCAGCCTGGGCTCAGTTCCCGCGTTCAGTAAGGCCCCAAGCTTGGCAATGGTTTTCCTGAATCAAAACAAAATTACAGAAATTTCACCAATGGCATTTGCAAATTTACCAGAACTGACAGTGAGTACAGTACTTTACATATTTTATATGATGTGTGCATGCCAATAATGTTTTGTAAATACTAACATCAATACATGAGCAGTATTCGTGTTCTAAACGGATGCAATTCAGCAAGTGGTAACTGCTGAACTAAGATAACATGACAAAATATCCCTTTGCAGTGGAATTAAAACACATTGATGATATTCATTTCATAAAATTGTGGAATGAACCAGATTTACAAAATGTTCATAAATGCCATGTGATCAACACTTTCTTTAAAGAGGAACAGACTGAGTTACTTGATCTAGTTTATCACAGCTTTAGAGTACAGTGTTTTAGTACACATCTGCAGGACACTGGGCAAGACCTATAATGTTTCAGCTCATTTTACTTTTTTTTATTTACTGTTTTCATCAAAAAATATATGTATCATCTCTGGTACCACTTTGATGATTACAGTATAAGGTATAACTTTATACTGTATAATACAATTATTTTCTGCCCACAAATTATCCTATCATGCCCAGGAGAGTCCAGACATGTTTTTACTCATTTTCCAAGTTTTATTTACAGCCTTCATCAGTCTATAATTACTGTAATTTAAAAGCATCACCAATAGTGCATGTCACTACTTTTTTAATACAGGATGTTCTCAACTTACAAGTCTTTTGTACGGAAAATAATCATAAACCTAAAGTCTACACTGGACAATTGGTCAACATTGTGTTTGTTTGCAGGTTTTGGACTTGGGATTCAACAATCTTCAAACAATTGAAGAAAACTGCTTCTACTTCAGTGCCTGGGCCGTCATCACATACCTGGACGACAGCAACATCAGTTTCATCCATGAGAGAGCATTCAGCTACCACCAACCTGGTTACTTGGATGTTTCCACTAACAAACTTACTGCGCTTGACCAAAAAGTCTTCCAGGTGAGTCTGTATATTCATTTTATCACCAAAGAATCATTTTTTTTTTTTAATTAGCTGGCCACCTCCCAATGAGGCAGGGTGACCTGAAAAAGAAACGCTTTCACCATCATTCACTCTATCACTGTCTTGCCAAAGGCGAGGAGAAATGACAGTTCAGGTGTCACTCTTAAACAGTAAGTATCCCAAACCCCTCCTTTAGAATGCAGACACTGTATTTCCCACCTCCAGGGCTCAATTCCTGGTCTTATTCTGTCAGCACCTTTCTGAAAGGGGATACCGGGAGGGTGTTCACCCCTGCGGCCCGGTCCATGAGCAGGCCTCATGGTGGATCAGGGCTTGATCGACCAGGCTGTTACTGCTGGCCGCTTTGCAAACCAACATATGAACCACAGCCTGGCTGGTCAGGTGCTGACTTTAGGTGTCTGTCCAGCTCCCTCTTGATACAAGTACAGTGCAGTAAACACTCATTATAAGTCACCTCCATATAATGGACCTCAGAAATAAAGAAGAAAATCCTGTGGGTCAATCAATTTGGAAACAAAGATCAAAGTACGTTGGATGCACAATTGTTTATCATTGTTACAATATGGTACAGGTGGGCCCTGCTTCACAGCACTTTACAACGTTTCACTAATGTAGCAGTTTTTAATTATACCCATTCTTCATTCATTCAGACTTCATACAATAAATATATTCACCATCACTATAAGCTAAGAATGAAAATATTTTAAGGTAAATAATGTGTGTACTGTATATGCATTTTTTAGGCCCAGGGTGAAGAGTATAAACAGGGGTTAGCTTTAAAGAAGGGCAGTGAGGAGTGCTCAAGGAAATACATATAATCAAAGTTGGTGTAATAAAGCTGTTGCTGACAAAAAGTCAAAGAGGAAGTCTGTCAAAGGTGGGGCCATCACTGAAGAGGGAAGGTACAGTAAGGGTGACGTCAAAGGTAAATTCTGCATGCCCACTGGTAAAAATAATAACAAAAACTATACTTTACGTACACACACAAATAATCTGCACGTAGGAGAGAGAAGCTTATGATGATGTTTTGGTCCGACTTGTAAATCATCCAAGTCGGACTGAAACATTGTCATAAGCTTCTCTCTCCTATGTGTGGGTCATTTGTTTATTGTTCATTAACGGTATTGTGCCTTTTTGTTCTTTTCTACAATGTACATAATTTTTAGTTATATTATGTTCTCAAGAGTTAATAGAGGAAAATGCAACGTAACATATTTAAACTAAATCACCATTAACCCACAACCTGAAGAGGTAACTTTAGATGATGTTTTGCCTCATCCCATCAGTGAAGTCACAGTTGTCTTGATATTGTTCCAGGATGGACAAAACCATCTTTCTAAAGAATTCCTAATACACTGTTCCAGCAGTGTTTTATAACTAATTCTTTGTAAACCAAGTCCTTCAAATAATCTGCTTCTCTCCAGCCAATCTTGGATTTCATCATTGCAAACGAGTACAACAGCTTTGTAGATGCAGAGGAGAATCCCTTGTGTTGCAGCAACATCACCTGGATTCTCACCAGCCCAGCATACGACCTTTACACCAGCCTATCAATACCTCCCTGCACATGGTAGTGCTAAAAAAAACTGACCTACGCACGTGCACAAAACACTCTTTTTGAAACTGTTTATGTTTAAGAGTACAGTGGACCCCCGCTTAATGATCACCTCCCAATGCGACCAATTATGTAAGTGTATTTATGTAAGTGCGTTTGTACATGTATGTTTGGGGGTCTAAAATGGACTAATCTACTTCACAATATTCCTTATGGAAACAAATTCGGTCAGTACTGCATACTTCTGAATGATACTTCTGAACATACTTCTGGAATGAAAAAATATCGTTAACCGGGGGTCCACTGTATTTGTAAACAAAGTTAGGATTCAGTTACACTGATATTCTAGAAAGCTTGCACTCAAATTTATAAATTCCCATGCATAATGAAAGACAGTTTTAAACCAACTGAAAGAACTACACGAGGAACTACCGAGTGCTAAAATCCTGGGAATATTTTCAAGACTTTACTGCAGACTGAATACAGAAGATGGGGACACCATGAGCTTAGCTTTGCTCCTATATCTTATAAGCAGGTAACCAACTATAATTAAAACAACTGAATTCTATAAGTGTTCACTGTAATTCCTAAATTTATTGTTAATATACTAGAATCCTGTAATAAGCCAACCTGTAATCCTTAAAACAATTAAACTCGATAGAAGTGTTTATTGTTAAAGCCACTTGAGACCGTATATATAAGTAATTAATTTTGTCTTGTTAGTCTTAAGATAAAGGCTTAAGTTTGCCCAAAATGCTTGGCATACTATGGGGTTTTCTGCATGGACACCTAAAATGTCATCATCTCTGTACAAATATTGTACCATGCTGAACTATATCATCTTTAATATGATTTGTCTATTTGATTTAGTTAACCATTTTAAACCTAATATATCACTGACCAGATATTACTGGCATCATTAATTAATGTATTGCACTCATTCAGAACTACACCCATTGATCAAAGTGATGTACAAAAAGGTAGACCGAACAAGTAATGTTCCATAATGACATGCCCTTTACACTCAATAGATGTTTTTGCACTATTTTCCTTCAGTAACTGAAATTAATATAATACTAGTGAGTAATACAAAACGTATTATTCCACGTCTGGTTTTGATTACAATATCATCTTAACATGTCTAAACCTTTGTAAACAAATTTTGTGTTTATCCATTACATGTATACCAATAATTGACTTGTGTGTACAATAATACCGATTTATTCCGAGATTATCACAAAACTTTATTATAAAAGAACTATAGTAATTATAAAAGATCTATAGTAACAAATGTCTACTAAAAGACTATCTACAAATATATTAATGTCTATTGAAGGCATTATTTACTTAAAATAAAACATCTAAGTGGCTACTTAAAAAAATAGTTTACATGCAGTACATAATGACTGTAATAAAGAGAAAGATACATTTGTTTTTGGTTATAATAATTTGCTTGTGTATTTATGTTTTTCCATGAAGGTAATAAACTATCAACTTATCTCTGTAAACCTTATGCACCTTTTCTGGAAAATAAAAATTATAATTTTCTTCATTTTCATTTATCCCATAATTGAACTTCAGTTTCAGTAATTTATTATGTTCACCTGTACAAATAATTTTAGAAGACGATGAGAGTGAAAGTTGAAGTTAGAACACGGCAATCAAGAAATAAGTCACTTTGACTTTTTGGGTTATCCTGGGTAATTTACACATATGTTACTATGTATGATAATTGTACCTATATAAACTTACTTATGTTGACTAATACCAGATATTGTAGTAGTGTATAGTTTTGTGGGCAAGAATGTGCGTTTACCATAAACACAGGATAGAAAGAAGGAGCAAAACTGCATGTAGAAGCTCAATCAGTGGAGACTGCAGTAAATGAAAGAGCTAAGCTATATGTGGAGGCCCTAACAGACCACAGCAGAGCCCAGTGAAAGCCGAGAAGGGAAAATGACAGGCCACTGAGCTCAAGTACATTAGCTAGTGAAACTGAAGAAAGGAAAGCTGCAATGGAGGAAATCAAATTAAATGAGGGGATACACAGGGATATGCAGTGGGAGAATGAAAGGGTGAGGTCAGTCTTTGTGTATGGGCTCCAGGAAGTTGAAGGGGAAACATATGAAGCAAGAAAACAAGGGGAAAAAAAAGCAATTGAAAGCAATCAAGAAAGCAATAGGAGAAGATGACATGAACCCCGCTGGAAAATTTCGGAGATAGGGGGGTTTTGTAAAAAAAAAAAAAACCCGGCCAGTGAAAGTGACCTTCAAGGCAGAATTGACTAGGAACAGGATCCGCAGGAGAAAGCACGATTAAGGGACATGCCGGCATACAGAAGGTGTATCTCGACCGCGGACAGAACACAAGCAGAAAGGCAGAAACAGAGAGAGATGGAAAAAAGGCGAAAGGAGGAAAGAGAAAGGGGGTGGGGAAGACAGACAGGAGATCCCAGACACAGGGAAGATCAAAAACAAAAACTTCCCATAGAAGCCTCCCAACCAGGTCAACCCCAGTGCAACCAACACTCAAACCAAAACACCCATGCCACATCCAATGCCCCAACCCACTGCATTACAAACCCACCCCCACAGCAACCACCCATAGTTCCTTATCAGATCTCCCACTTTCCCCAACCCCAATACAACCCCCCAGACCACAAAACTTAGAAAAGAAGTTGAAGGTGTGGTATACAAATGCAGAATGGAATTAACAAATAAGTATGAGGAGTGGCACGAAAGAATCAAGGGGACATCCCAGACATAATAGCACTCGCAGAAACAAAACTCACCAGAATAATAACAGATTCAATCTTTCCACCTGGATATCAAATCCTCAGGGAAAAACAGAGGGGGGAGAGGGGGAGGAGGATTGCATGCTCATTAAAAACCAGTGGGGGTTTGAAAAATGGAAGGAATGGATGGCACGGGCAAAAAGGGGCTACTTAGTAGGAACAATCCAGTCTGAGGACATAAGGTGATAAAATTTCAGTAATGTACAACCCACCACAGAACTGCAGGAGACCAAGAGAAGAATACATGAGAGCAACAGAGCAATGGTCCCACACACTAGCCGAGGTGGCCAGGAGAGCACACATGGGGGGAGCAAAGTTACTAGTTTAGGGTGATTTCAATCCCCAAGGAGACTGACTGGAAAACCTGGGGCCCCATGGGGGTCCCGAAACATGGAGAGCCAAGATGAAGGATGTGGTATGGAAAACCTCATGCATCAACATGTTAGAGATACTACCAGAGAGAGAGGGGAGGATGAACCAGCAAGACCGGACCTTGTATTCACCTTGAGTAGTTCTGACAAACGAGGATATCATGTATGAAAGGCCCCTGGGAGCTAGCGATCAAAGTTGTTCTGTGCTTCGACTACATAGTTGAGCTCCAAGTGGAGAGAGCAGCAGGAATAGGGTGGGAAAAACCAAACTACAAAAGGGGAACTATCTCAGGCTGAGGAACTTCTTTCAAGACATCAGTGGAAAGTGGAACTGACAGGAAACAGTAAAAAATATTACTATGTGCAACAAAATGCAGAGCAAGAGAGAGGTTTGTACTAAGTGGAAACAGAATAAGGGAAGACGAACGAGTCCTTGGTTCACCCAAAGTGTAGTTAGGCAAAAACTAGTGTACTAAGAATGGAAAGGTACAGAAGACGAGAACCAGAAAATAGGAATTAGTCCAAAGATCAGAAACGATATGCACAATAAGAAGGGAGGTCAGCGGCAATACGAATTGAATTAGCATCGAAAGTCAAGACTGACCCGATAGTGATGTACCGTCACATCAGGAGAAAACAACAGTCAATACCAGTTAATCAGATGAGGAGGGTGATGGGAATTCACAAGAAACGACCAATTTTTAAAGAAGTATTTACGTGGAAACCATAGGACTCCAGGAAATCAGAGAGGGGTGCACCAGCATATGGATGAGGTACATATACCAAGGAGGAGGTGAAGAGCTGCTATGGAACTTGACCTCAAGGCGGGACCAGACAACATTCCGGGTCTAAAGAGGGAGCAAGATATTGTGTGTACCGTTAACAAAGATCTTCAACACATCATTTGAAACTGGGCAACTCCCTGAGGTATGGAAGATGGCAAATGTAGTCCCAATTTTTAAAAAAGGGAGACAGACATGAGGCACTAAACTACAGACCTGTATCACTAACGTGTATAGTAAGCAAGGTCATGGAGAAGATCATCAGGAGGAGAGTGGTGGAGCACCTGGAAAGAAACAAGTGTATAATTGACAACCAGCATGGTTTCAGGGAGGGAAAATCCTGTGTCACAAACCTACTAGAGTTTTATGACAAGGTGACAGAAGTAAGACAAGAGAGAGAGGGGTGGATCGACTGCATTTTTTTGGACTGCAAGAAGGCCTTCGACACAGTTCCTCACAAAAGGTTACTGCAAAAGCTAGAGGATCAGGCACACATAACAGGAAAGGCACTGCAATGGATCAGAGAATACCTGACAGGGAGGCAACAACGAGTCATGGTACGTGACAAGGTGTCAGAGTGGGCGCCTGTGACAAGCGGGGTTCCACAGGGGTCAGTCCTAGGACCTGTGCTGTTCTTGGTAGATGTGAATGACATAACGGATGGGATAGACTCAGAAGTGTCCTTGTTTGCGGACGATGTGAAGTTAATGAGAAGAATCAAATCGGATGAGGATCAGGCAGGACTACAAAGAGACCTGGACAGGCTACAAGCCTGGTCCAGCAACTGGCTCCTTGAGTTTAACCCTGCCAAATGCAAAGTCATGAAGATTGGGGAAGGGCGAAGAAGACCGCAGACACAATATAGTTTAGACGGCCAAAGTCTGCAAACCTCACTCAAGGAAAAAGATCTGGGGGCGAGTATAACACCGAGCATATCTCTTGAGGCGCACATCAATCACATAACTGCTGCAGCATACGAGCGCCTGGCAAACCTACGGATAGCGTTCCGATATCTCAGTAAGGATTCATTCAAGACTCTGTATACCATTTACGTAAGGCCCATACTGGAGTATGCAGCACCAGTTTGGAATCCACACCTAGTCAAGCACGTCAAGAAATTAGAGAAAGCGCAAAGGTTTGCAACAAGACTAGTCCCAGAGCTACGGGGATTGTCCTACGAAGAAAGGTTGAGGGAAATCGGCCTGACGACACTGGAGGACAGGAGGGTCAGGGGAGACACGATAACGACATATAAAATACTGCACGGAATAGACAAGGTGGACAAAGACGGGATGTTCCAGAGAAGGGACACAGACACAAGAGGTCACAATTGGAAGTTGAAGACCCCAGATGAATCAAAGGGATGTTAGGAAGTATTCTCAGTCATAGAGTAGTTAGGCCGTGGAATAGCCTAGAAAGTGACATAGTGGAGGCGGGAACCATACATAGTTTTAAGGCAAGGTATGATAGAGCTCATGGGGCAGGGAGAGAGAGGACCTAGTAGCAATCAGCGAAGAGGCGGGGCCAGGAGCTGTGACTCGACCCCTGCAACCACAAATAGGTGAGTACAAATAGGTGAGTACACACACACACACACACACACACACACACACACACACACACACACACACACACACACGCACGCGCACACACATGCACGCACACACGCACACACACGCACACACACAACGCACAACACGCACACACGCACGCACACACACACGCACACACAACACGCCACACACACACGCACACACACACACGCACACACACACACGCACACACACACACGCACACACACACGCACACACACACACGCACACACACGCACACACACACACACAACACGCACACACGCGCGCACACACAACACACACACACACACACACACACACACACACACACACACACACACGCAATAGTGATCTACAGTCATACACTGTGTGCGAGTGTTACAGCGAACATAAGTACATTTAGAGTACAGGTTATTCTGAAAGGGCAACAGTTGAAGAGTTAGTAGAGCACATTGTGTAAGTAGGTGTTGATGAACAGGCTTCCTCGTCCTCACTCTCCCCAGTACGTCTTAACAAGATAGTACAATTCCCCTCCTGGGTTACATTCTCTCTCTGTACATGCTAATGAGCAAATAAATACCTCCTCCCCCCCTTTCCCTCGTGTGTGTGTTACTTTGATATTTTAAGTAAGAAACCTCACCTCATTGTATATACGTGTTGTATTTACTTTGATCTCTTTTAAAAGGAGTGAAGTATTCTCGACTTCTGGTGAAAAGTGACATGCATCCTTAAGGAAACTATGAGGTGTCCATGTGCTTTAAGTCCAATTAACCAAAGAATGAAGGATTAGCAGTGTATCGCAGTACATTCTCTCACTGATTAAGACATGACTGACCGACAGTTAATAGAATTTGCATAAGTGGCGAAAAATCAAAATGAGGATCATTCAAAATTGGCGTTCCACGGGGGTCAAGTTTGGGTCCTGTGTTATTCATGAAACCGACAAATGGAAGGTTAGGTAAGGTTTGTCACGAAACAGGACAAGTGTTTCCTGAAGCGGGTCTTAGTCATATGATGACCCAATTAAAAGTAGGGGCGCCATTGGTACACTAAGAGAAAACACCATAAGTGTCCGGGGCCCAAGACTGTTCAACAGCCTCCCATCAAGCATTAGGGGAATTACCAATAAACCCCTGGCTGCCTTCAAGAGAGAGCTGGACAGATATCTAAAGTCAGTGCCGGATCAGCCGGGCTGTGGCTCATACGTTGGACTGCGTGCGGCCAGCAGTAACAGCCTGGTTGATCAGGCCCTGATCCACCGGGAGGCCTGGTCATGAACCCGGCCGCGGGGGCGTTGATCCCCGGAATAACCTCCAGGTAATCTGACCGAGGCCTTCCACTGGTTTACCGGTCCACCCTTTTATCAATTATAGTTTTAATTATAACCATTTTACAAACAGGCGAGTACATCAGCTGATGGTGACAACTCCTGGGTCTCAAGACTGCCCAAGCCGGGCAGTAGTGATATCCAGTCTGGATTTTTTTTTTTTTTTTTGGGGGGGGGGGGGTAAGATGTGACAAATGTGTGGCTCAGCTTGCATAATGGACTGACTGGTGTCAGTCCATCAATATCAAGTAACATCGCATAACAAGTAATTATGATTTGTCAGTAAACCACACGAAGGATGTTATAAAAAAAATAGCTTGGTGTGTGTAAACCTTCCTCAAACGCCAATTCATTCAGGGAATGGGCTAAGGTTTAACAAGGAAGTCAAGAAAAAAGTTCGTTGTCCCGTGTTCTTTCGACTTCAGTTCTGTCAGTCAATGAAAGAAAACGGCCACCTAATTTTTATAACTTCATTGAAATTCTCGCTAATTCAGTATATGAAGCGGCCTCTGATGACGGTTTGTATACCAAAAATCCTCAAGCTCTTTCTATACATATACAAATGCAGATTTTTTTACATGTGTACACATTGAACATTAAAATGGTATAAAATACCGACAGGTTGTTAGGTAAGACACACATGCAACAGTTAGGTATCTTTATTTCGAAACGTTTCGCCTACACAGTAGGCTTCTTCAGTCGAGTACAGAAAAGTTGATAGAAGCAGAAGATACTTGAAGACGATGTAATCAGTCCATCACCCTTAAAGTTTTGAGGTGGTCAGTCCCTCAGTCTGGAGAAGAGCATTGTTCCATAGTATGAAACAATATGGAGATGAAGTGACAGGATGGAGCCTTATATAGCGCCAGGAGGTGAGACGTAGGTCACTAGTAGAACGCAGATGTTGGGAGGTCAGGTCCCTCTCAAATCCAGCCGTTCTCACTAGTAGAGGTTGTCGAAGTTGATTGCAGGTCTGTACCAAGATACCCTTGTGTTGCAGTGTCTGACAGATTGAACATTAAAATGGTATAAAATACCGACAGGTTGTTAGGGTGATGGACTGATTACATCGTCTTCAAGTATCTTCTGCTTCTATCAACTTTTCTGTACTCGACTGAAGAAGCCTACTGTGTAGGCGAAACGTTTCGAAATAAAGATACCTAACTGTTGCATATGTTCTTACCTAACAACATGTGTACACATGTATGTATAAATATACGCAGTGTTTTTGTTATACCATTCTCACAAATTTCAGTTTATGCGTGTGAGAGACCATCACAATGCCCACGTTACAGTAACTTTAAGTCTGCTTCTGAAACACATTTTGAGATGCCGTAACTGCTGAAGATATAGTGGAATGTTTGACGACATCCTCATCGCTCCATTGAAGTCTACTAGCACAGGCTGACACATCCTGTGTGACAGAATATGACAGGGAAAACTCCATCCTGTGTAACGGAATATGACAGGGGAAAACACCATCCTGTGACGGAATATGACAGGGAAAACACCATCCTGTGTGATGGAATATAATGGAAACACTATCCTTTGTCATGGTATGTGATGGACTATGACGAGAGAAACATTGCTAGCTTTTCCTCCCACTACGTAGTGCACAGCCAGACAGAGATGGCGTTCCCATAACGTAACTTACACGGCATAAGGCAGCTACACACACTGTATCCGTAGCAAAACTAACATCTCCCTCTATTCCTCCCGGTTAACTTACCACCACAACAGTCACACTCATTAGCTGACTGTATCATTAACAGTAGCTAACTGTATCATTAACAGTCACCCTTCACTTTTCCTTCCATGAATAATGTAAGGTGGGAAAGACAATCATAAACACATCTAAATCTATCTTCTATGTAAAGGTATGCAAAAATTAACATGGAACTAATTATTGTTGTTGGTGGTGTTAGTGTTACTGATAGTGTTATTTATGCTGTTAGTGTTACTGTTGGTATTATTGTTGGTCTTACTGTTGGTGTTGTAGTCACGTGAAAAGATGGCTCCAAACTTTTGCAACAAGTGTTTCAGGATAACCCAGAGAGTTGCTCTCCCTCGCCTCCTGAAGGACTGAGCATGGAATGGGACAAGAGAGAGCTGGGTGTGTGGGCATCTTGCCAAGTGTGACATCCGAAGCGTGCCCAGTGTATAACATCATCGCTTAGTACGAGCTGCCCTTGTCTACCTAGCAGGAAAAGTAGAAGGTGGAGGATGAAGGGGTATGGGAGAGGTAATAAGAGTGCTGAGGTTGTCAGTGGTGTGCCTCGCAATAATGTAAGTTCATTACAAACCAAGCCCTAAACCCGCATGGGTCAAACAGCGCCTGGGGAATGGGAGGCAAAGGCAGTCTTGATCCCTGGGAGCAGGATGGGGTAACTCCAGTTCCTTGAATCAAGAACCCTTGAGCAGCATCAGGGCTATGGGGAGGTAACGAGGTAGGCTGCTGCAGGATGCGTCTCATTAGTCCAGCTCTCATGGTTGAGAGATGCAGGTACCAACAGCCTGATTGATCACCAGGGTGTATGGATTGACCAGTAAATGAGTGTACGTCAATTGAGCTAAAGTTTAGGAGACGGGACCAACAACTGCAGCTCAACCTTCAGCTTAAAATAGGCCATTACACATTCTGCTCTGCTAGAAATTTGTGAATAACCAAGTGACACGCACACAAAACACACCTACCCACACCACCTCTCTCCACACACGACACACCCACAAAACACCCACACATCCACCTCCACCCACACACATACCCACAAAACACCCACACATCCACCCACACACATACCCACAAAACACCCACAACACAACAGCTCAAGTACCAACAATAACAAGGACTCACATTCTCAGCATCACCGGTCAACAAACACTCATTGTTGGCACTTCAACATTCCTTCCTTCCTTGAACCCAGACAAAAGCTGCTTAAAACATAACAAATCTAAAAGCCTCTTTATCAAGACACTAATGACACCTACAACCGAGTGCCCAATTTACCTCGTCCTTTTAATAACAGACGCTATTCCACTGTTGCTAAGACAGTCAAATGGGTGACTGTATGAGCATTCAAACAGTGATTATCTGACTTAGATTATTTTAGTGTACGGTGGGCTCCCGTTTTCTGATCGCGCCTCCAGAGTTATTATCGTCTAATCTATTTCATATAAATTGCATTTATTACCGTTGCGGTATGTTTTAAGTGCTTTATTTTTATTTACAAATCACAACCTAACCCAACTAAACGTACATAACGTAAATCGAAAAAATTATTAACCTTGCCCTCTTCCTCCCTCCCATACCATTTCAGCGGACTCCCCAACACTATCCACTTAAACCATACCCCCGGCCGGGATTGAACCCGCGGTCATAGTCTCAAAACTCCAGCCCGTCGCGTTAGCCACTAGACCAGCTAGCCACAATAAGATTCATCCAATTAGGTATATTCCTACACCATAGGAAAGTTAGCACAGGCTCCTCTGTGACCACAAATGCAAGTTTTTACAGACGAATCTCCAGCTAGCGTGGCCGTGACGAACTCTAGCTCAAGTCCCTTCACTGCTGTCAACATGACTCAAGAAATCGTAATGACACGATTGCAAACATTTGTGGTCACAGAGGAGCCTGTGCTAACTTTCCTATGGTGTAGAAATATACCTAGTTGGATGAATCTTATTGTGGCTAGCTGGTCTAGTGGCTAACGCGACGGGCTGGAGTTTTGAGACTATGACCGCGGGTTCAATCCCGGCCGGGGGTATGGTTTGTTTGCAATCGTGTCATTACGATTTCTTGAGTCACTATCCACTTAACGCTACTACAACAACCACTACCATTCAATACTACAAATTACTATTAATACTACAAAAACCGCTACTAACAATACAACTACCATGGGTTCTGCATGCACAACCAAATGTAACCCAGTTCTGTACATTCTATCATGTGGAAATAAATCTTTGACCCAGTTCTGTACATTCTATCATGTGGAAATAAATCTTTGACCCAGTTCTGTACATTCTATCATGTGGAAATAAATCTTTGATTACCACTAACTACACCCACCACCACTACTACTACTACTACTACTGTAATTCAATTTCTACAAAATACGCACATACCACCACATCTAACCCCCGCCCTTCCATTGTACACTATCAGCTAACTGACCTATCGGAGCCATGGGGAGAATAAATGGAAAGGATGGGGGGGGAAGTCAGAGATGGAGGAAGACGCACGGAGACTGGGAAGGAATTTAAAATATTTAGTGTGATAGATGTAAAAGGTCATCCAGCGTTCTATACTGAAAAAGATACTCACACACACACACACACACACACACACACACACACACACACACACACACACACACACACACACACACTCAACAAGGCAGGTATGAAGTGGTCTAGGAGTCACGGAGAGCCACTTAAGAAAGGAAGCATAGGTGCTGCAGGATCAGCAGCACCTATCTTAGCACACCACACTAACATATACTATACACCAGTCATGACACAATATACCACACACCAGTCATGACATACAATATACCACACACCAGTCATGACACAATATACCACACACATGACATACAATATACCACACACCAGTCATGACACAATATACCACACACCAGTCATGACATACAATATACCACACACCAGTCATGACATACAATATACCACACACCAGTCATGACATACAATATACCACACACCAGTCATGACATACAATATACCACACACCAGTCATGACATACAATATACCACACACCAGTCATGACACAATATACCACACACATGACATACAATATACCACACACCAGTCATGACACAATATACCACACACCAGTCATGACATACAATATACCACACACCAGTCATGACATACAATATACCACACACCAGTCATGACATACAATATACCACACACATGACATACAATATACCACACACCAGTCATGACACAATATACCACACACCAGTCATGACATACAATATACCACACACCAGTCATGACATACAATATACCACACACCAGTCATGACATACAATATACCACACACCAGTCATGACACAATATACCACACACATGACATACAATATACCACACACCAGTCATGACACACAATATACCACACACCAGTCATGACATACAATATACCACACACCAGTCATGACATACAATATACCACACACCAGTCATGACATACAATATACCACACACCAGTCATGACATACAATATACCACACACCAGTCATGACATACAATATACCACACACCAGTCATGACATACAATATACCACACACCAGTCATGACATACAATATACCACACACCAGTCATGACACAATATACCACACACCAGTCATGACATACAATATACCACACACCAGTCATGACACAATATACCACACACCAGTCATGACATACAATATACCGCACACCAGTCATGACATACAATATACCACACACCAGTCATGACATACAATATACCACACACCAGTCATGACATACAATATACCACACACCAGTCATGACACACAATATACCACACACCAGTCATGACACACAATATACCACACACCAGTCATGACATACAATATACCACACAGGCTTTTTAATTAACATTAGATACACAGAGAAATTTTTACCTATTTAAATTATTCCAACAGGACTAGTGCTCTCATATAGGACATGAGAGAGAGAGAGAGAGAGAGAGAGAGAGAGAGAGAGAGAGAGAGAGAGAGAATCCGTTTCAGTTGCTGGGCTCAACTTACACACGCTTTGTAGTATCAACACAAGTCACGTGGTGTTGGTACCTACACACGCTCCCGCTACCATTCACAAGTTACAAAATATCCAAACACCGCAGCTTCTTCTAGACATTAATAAAACAATAGCGAACCACCTGAGGCGTCGGAAAAACACAAGAGGTTCTTACAAGCAAAATAAACACGTTAAGGTGTGTCCACGTGTCGCGAGGTTGTGTTAAAACACGCTAAGTGGCATCGTTTGTGAGGTGTTACCACGCATGCATAGCTCAGGTGACGATTCACTTAACCCAGGTCCAGGTGATAAGGTAACTACCGTACTCCAGGTCCAGGTGATAAGGTAACTACCGTACCCCAGGTCCAGGCGATAAGGTAACTACCGTACCCCAAGTCAAGGTGATAAGTTAACTACCGTACCCCAGGTCCAGGTGATAAGGTAACTACTGTACCCCAAGTCCAGGTGATAAGGTAACTACTGTACCCCAAGTCCAGGTGATAAGGTAACTACCTCCAGGCCCAGGTGACAAGGCCACAACAGCATCTGCAGGCTCAGGCCAGGAAGGAGGTCCCTATCGCTAGTTGAGTTGGCCAGGCACCGCCTATCCCAAGGTTCATGTGGCAGTGAGGCACCTACCTGACAGTTGCCATCCTCCTCCTCCGAGCCCCGCTATCTGCTGTTGTCGACTGAGAACTACCACTTCCCGCTCACAGTATTTATAACCTGCCTTCCGGGTGAGTCCACTTTACTCAACCAGCGGGGGAGACCACAATACCACCATCTAATCACTACCATACAAACCTTTCCATACGCGCCTAGACACAAACTCTCGTTTAATTAAATCCGAAGCATGGCCGGGCCGTCCTCAATGATGCTGCCTGACCAGTCACAGTGGTAATCTAATCAAGGTATTTAATAAACTCTACTATCGCAGAGTATGAAAATTTTATCCACATTATGTCAAGTGAGACTTCAGAATCATGTAAGTCAATGAAACCTACTTATAAGAGACGTATTTTCTCACATACATAAATGATCTTTCCAGTATAAACCACCAGTGCCTCCCAAGAATAATAATAACATTGAAGAGTGACTAATAAAAAGTAAAAAGGAAACCTACACAGAAATATAGAGAGAAATAATGAAGATAGATAAGAAATGAGGAAGAGGTACATTGTTTTACACTAAGCGTCGATCGGTCTGTATTAGAAATTAATGTACGCAGTGAGTACAGTGATGAGTGTATCTTTTCTACTCTCCACCACCTCTACCACACTACTGCCCCAGCATCACGTGCATGGGCATCAACAAGCACTTGGGCATCAACAATCTGTACCCATCTCAAAACAATCACTTTAAAGTTACTATTCCAGAAACAATCTCGAATAAAATCACAATTACAAAAAACTCTTACACGAAATATCTACCAAAACAACAACTACGCAAAACCTACAATCACATTCACACAAAGTACAATCACATTCACACAAAGTACAATCACATTCACACAAAGTACAATCACATTCACACAAAGTACAATCGAGCAAAAATTACATTCACTCAAAACAAAGAATTGCTTTCACAACGAACACACGAAACTACAATAACACAAAATAAGTAACACAAAACTACAATATCGGTAACACAAAACTACAGTATCGGTAACACGAAACTACAATAACAGTAACACACAACTACAATAACAGTAACACAAAACTACAATATCGGTAACACAAAACTACAGTATCGGTAACACAAAACTACAAAACAGTAACACACAACTACAATAACAGTAACACAAAACTACAATAACAGTAACACAAAACTACAATATCGGTAACACAAAACTACAATATCGGTAACACAAAACTACAATATCGGTAACACGAAACTACAATAACAGTAACACAAAACTACAATATCGGTAACACAAAACTACAATAACAGTAACACAAAACTACAATATCGGTAACACGAAACTACAATAACAGTAACACAAAACTACAATATCGGTAACACGAAACTACAATATCGGTAACACGAAACTACAATAACAGTAACACAAAACTACAATATCGGTAACACAAAACTACAATAACAGTAACACAAAACTACAAAAATCGGTAACACGAAACTACAATAACAGTAACACAAAACTACAATAAAAACTATAATTACAACAGACTACAAAGTACAATCACAACATAAAGCTACAATAACTAAAATAATACACTACAATAAGAAACTAAAATAACAACAAACTACAATATGAGACTGAAATAACAACAAACTACAATAAGAGACTGAAATAACAACAAACTACAATAAGAGACTGAAATAACAAACAACAAATAAGAGACTGAAATAACAACAAACTACAATAAGAGACTGAAATAACAACAAACAACAATTAAGAGACTGAATAACAAACTACAATAAGAACTGAAATAACAACAAACTACAATAAGAGACTGAAATAAAAACAAACTACAATAAGACTGAAATAACAACAAACTACAATAAGAAACTAAAATAACAACAACTACAATAAGAGACTGAAATAACAACAAACTACAATAAGAGACTGAAATAACAAACTACAATAAGAGACTGAAATAACAACAAACTACAATAAGAGACTGAAATACAACAAACTAAAATAAGAGACTGAAATAACAACGAACTACAATAAGACTGAAATAACAACAAACTACAATAAGAGACTGAAATAACAACAAACTATAATAAGAGACTGAAATAACAACAAACTACAATAAGAGACTGAAATAACAACAAACTAAAATAAGAGACTAAAATTTAACAACAAACTACAAAAAGAGACTAAAATAAAAAACTACAATAAGAGACTGAAATAACAACAAACTACAATAAGAGACTGAAATAACAACAAACTACAATAAGAGACTGAAATAACAACAAACTACAATAAGAGACTGAAATAACAACAAACTACAATAAGAGACTGAAATAACAACAAACTACAATAAGAGACTGAAATAACAAACTACAAAAAGAGACGAAATAAAAAACAAACTACAATAAGAGACTGAAATAACAACGAACTACAATAAGACTGAAATAACAACAAACTACAATAAGAGACTGAAATAACAACAAACTATAATAAGAGACTAAAAACAACAAACTACAATAAGAGACTGAAATAACAAAAAACTACAATAAGAGACTGAAATAACAACGAACTACAATAAGACTGAAATAACAACAAACTACATAAGAGACTGAAATAAAACCAACAAAACTACTTAAGAGACTGAAATAACAAAAAACTACAATATGAGACTAAAATAACAACAAACTAACAATAAGAGACTGAAATAACAACAAACTACAATAAGAAAACAAAAATAACAACAAACTACAATATGAGACTGAAAAACAACAAACTACAATAAGAGACTGAAATAACAACAAACTACAATAAGAGACTGAAATAACAACAAACTACAATAGAGACTGAAATAACAACAAACTACAATATGAGACTGAAATAGCAACAAACTACAATATGAGACTGAAATAACAACAAACTACAATATGAGACTAAAATAGCAACAAACAAACAATAAGAGACTGAAATAACAACAAACTACAATAAGAGACTGAAATAACAACAAACTACAAAAAGAGACTGAAATAACAACAAACTACAATAAGAGACTAAAATAACAACAAACTACAATAAGAGACGAAAATAGCAACAAACTACAATAAGAGACGAAATAACCAACAAACAACAATATGAGACTGAAATAACAACAAACTACAATATGAGACTGAAATAACAACAAACTACAATATGAGACTGAAATAACAACAAACTACAATATGAGACTGAAATAGCAACAACCTACAATAAGAGACTGAAATAACAAACTACAATAAGAGACTGAAATAACAACAAACTATAATATGAGACTAAAATAACAACAAACTACAATAAGAGACTGAAATAACAACAAACTACAATAAGAGACTGAAATAACAACAAACTACAATAAGAGACTAAAATAACAACAAACTACAATAAGAGACGAGACGAGGACATTAGAGCACTCCAGGAAGATTTGAGTAGACTGATGCAGTGGTCGGAGAAGTGGCAGATGCAGTTTAATATAGACAAATGCAAAGTTCTAAATGTTGGACAGGACAATAACCATGCCACATATAAACTAAATAATGTAGATCTTAATATTACGGATTGCGAAAAAGATTTAGGAGTTCTGGTTAGCAGCAATCTGAAACCAAGACAACAGTGCATAAGTGTTCGCAATAAAGCTAATAGAATCCTTGGCTTCATATCAAGAAGAAATTATATAATAGGAAGTCCTCAGTTGTTTCTTCAACTAATAAAATCATTGGTTAGGCCTCATTTAGATTATGCTGCACAGATTTTGGTCACCGATTACAAAAATGGATATAAATGCTCTGGAAAATGAACAAAGGAGGATGAAAAAAGTTGATCCCTGTATCAGAAACCTTCCCTATGAGGATAGACTAAGGGCCCTGAAACTGCACTCCCCTAGAAAGACGTAGAATTGGGGGGATATGATTGAGGTGTATAAATGGAAAAACGGGAATAAATAAAGGGATGTAAATAGTGTGCTGAAAATATCTAGCCTAGACGGGACTCGTAGCAATGGTTTTAAGTTGGAAAATTCAGATTCAGGAAGGATTAGGAAAGTACGGGGTTTGGTAATAGAGTTGTGGATGAGGGGAACAAACTCTCAAGTACAGTTATAGAGGCCAGAACGTTGTGTAGCTTTAAAAATAGGTTGGATAAATACATGAGTGGGTGTGGGTGGGTGTAAGTTGGACCTGATTAGCTTGTGCTACCAGGTCGGTTGCCGTGTTCCTCCCTTAAGTCAATGTGACCTGACCTGACTAGGTTGGGTGCATTGGCTTAAGCCGGTAGGAGACTTGGACCTGCCTCGCATGGGCCAGTAGGCCTTCTGCAGTGTTCCTTCATTCTTATGTTCTTATGTTAACAACAAACTACAATAAAATTACAATAACATACTATAAGATTGCAATAGGACCACAATAACAACAAACTACAATAACAACACACTGCAATAACAAACTACAATAACAACACACTGCAATAACAACAAGCTATAATAAGATTACAATAACAAACTGTAAGATTGCAATAAGACTACAATAACAACACACTGCAATAACAAACTACAATAAGAGATTACAATAAACTACAATAAAATTACAATAAGAGAGTACAATAAAATTACAATAAGAGACTACAATAACAACACTCCCACACGAACAATTATTACAACCACCAGGTTACATTCGTTAATTATTATAACATGTAAGGGAAGCGCTGACCTACAGGGAAGGTCTGAACTCGTCTTCTCCCTCACCGGCACCACCACCACAATCCACCTTCAAGAACAACTATTTTTTTTATTAACACATCGGCCGTTTCCCACCAAGGCAGGGTGGCCCGAAAAAGAACAACTTTCACCATCATTCACTCCATCACTGTCTTGCCAGAAGGGTGCTTTACACTACAGTTTTTAAACTGCAACATTAACACCCCTCCTTCAGAGTGCAGACACTGTGCTTCCCATCTCCAGGACTCAAGTCCGGCCTGCCGGTTTCCCTGAATCCCTTCATAAAAATTACCTTTCTTACACTTCAACAGCACGTCAAGTCCTAAA